AGTTTTCACTCAAGCATCAAGATGGCACCTTATCAAGCTTTGTATGGACAAAAGTGCCGAACGCCGTCATGTTGGCTTGAAGCTAGGGAAAAGCAGTTATGGGACCCGAGATAGTTCATCAAACTACTGAAAAGTTGAAAGTGATTAAGGAAAGGATGTTAGCAGCTCAGGATAGTCAAAAGAGCTATGCTGACAAGAAAAGACAACCGATAACATTCGAAGTTGGAGATTCAGTTTTACTTAAAGTCTCGCCGTGGAAGAGACTTATAAGATTTGGTAAATGAGGAATGTTGAGTCCAAGGTTTATTGGACCGTTTAAAGGTCTTCAGAGGATTGGGAACCAAGCTTACAAGCTAGAATTACTAGAAGAACTAGATGGTATTCATAACACTTTCCATGTGTGTGATTTGAGGAAGTTCACGGGAGATGTTCCTGACATAATTCCAATTTCTGAATTAAGGTTGGATGAAAGCAAGAGGTTAATCGAAGAACCAGAAGCAATCGTTGACCGTAATACCAGAACCAGAAACATACGAATGGGCCAAATCTCACCTGGGAAACGGAGAGTGACATGATGAGTCGCTATGCGTAATTGTTTGCTGATGTGTGATTCTGGGGACGGAATCATCCTAAGGGGGAGAGAAGTGTAACGCCTGTGCTTCTGAGCTAGGCACTAATAATGATGTAATAGTCTAGGCCAACCATTGTAAAATTGTTTTGAAATAATAAGATGTATTATTTGATTATTATGTGTTTTATGTTTAATTATTATAATTTAATGAATTAAGGATAAAAATAAGCGTCGAAAATAAATTTTAGATAAACCTGATATCTATGAAGAAAGTTGTAGTGGTTGAAACAATGATTTCGGAGATATAAAAAATACCAAATTCGAGTTATAACGAAGAAGTTATGACATGTCGAAGTTTCGCGACAGAACCGGCACGACGCTGTGTGACGTAAAAGTGAATTTTCGATAAAGTGCTTTTTAGCCTTAGCAATCTAAATGAAAGTCGTAGTGTTCATTAAACTGAGAGCATGCATAAAAATAACACCCAAATCTGACTTCGTATGAGGAAGTTATGATTTTTCTAAGTTTCAGCTTAGTAGTAGACAACTAAAAACTCGAATTTTAGATCGAGTGATTTTTAGCCGACACAACCTAAACGAGAATCGAAGGTCTCATCAATAGTAGTACCACGGTAAAAAGACAGATGAAAACGGATGTCGGATGAAGAAGTTACGAATTTTTAACAGATTTTCATGTCCCGGTCTGTTAAAAATAATAATATTAAAAATAAATTCAAAATTAGCCAATGGAGTCTAAACGAAAGTTGTAGAGTATAATCTCGCCTACGCGTGGATATAAAGAACGTCGAAAACGGAGCTCGTATGCGAATGTTGTGAATTTTTGAAGTTTGGGGAACAAAATCCGAGAATTTTCGCAAGGACTAGGCCAAGGTTCGGCCACGTCACCCACTCCTCGCAGGCGCCCCATGTCCGACGCTTGTCGCAACCTTCTCTAGTCCGAAGCGCGGTCCAACCAGCTGCTGATGCGTGTTGCTTCGGTGGTGAGCCCTCACATCCGACACCTGGCCCCTCGCATACGAGCCGCGTGTCCTCCCTTCCCCCTTCGGTCGAAGCCTCGCACCCTATATAAAGGGAGGTGCGAACCCTCACGGTTTTGGTTGGATTTTTGCACACTTTTTCACTTTAAACCTTCTTTCAAGCTATTTTACATCCCCCGAAGCCCCGGGATCATACCTAACACCCGAAGAACGTCCCAAAGTGTCCGAAGACCCCGATAAATTTATCTTTTCGGTTTGAAGCTCAACCCTCGCAAGGCCCGGTTTTTCATTAAAGCTCCCGGTTTCATTGAAAACGATCGTTTTAAGAAACGAAGTGCTGCCCGATTATCGTTAAATCAAGTGAGTGTGTAGTCACTTTCATCTTACATATAGATATGAAGTATTTTCTATAAAATACGTGCTATGTGTAATTATATTATTTGTGTATTTGAGATAGGTGTTGAATAGATGTTTTATACAAGTTTTAAACTGTATATTTATTTTTATCTACAAAAATGTTGGGTAAAACATTGGTAGATGAAATATTTGATGTGTGTTAAAATGATGAGAGGCCTCGTTGTTGTTGTTGTTGTTGTTATTGTTGTTGTTGTAGTCATCTAGCGGAGTATAGATGACGACCACGGACCTTTCTAGTCAGTCCAGTGGAACGCTAGCAGGTTCGCAACCTGTAGGTGTTGGTGAACTATATGTTTGCAGGTGTACTCCATCCCCCTCATGGTTGCCTTATTTGACATAAATTACTGAGGAATCCCCAATGCAGTGTTGTCACCCCCATGAAAATCTCTAGACTAGGTCCCTTACGATAGGTGTTTAGGGACGTAAAGTGAGGATAACGAGAATGGGTAATCAGGGTTATTGTTGGTTGATGAAATTAATAAATTTATTTTTGGTTGATGAATTTAATAAATTTATTATTATTTGTGGGTTGAAAACCCTATAAGCTCACCAGGCTCCCAAGCCTGACCCACTCAGCTTTTTATTTTATAGGTAGTGGACCCAGAGCATAGTTTGGATGAGGAAGAGGGATTTTTGGATTATAGGTCAGTAGTTGTAAATAACTGTTGGAAGGCTTATGATGTATTGTTTATGCTTTTGGTCTGTATCGGAACATGACATCCCGAGGTTTTGATATATAATGAAAATACATATTTCTTTAAGAAATGTTTTGAGAAATTTTAATCATGTTTTGTTTTGGGGACAAATTCCGCAACATCTTTTAAAAGATTACTCTGATTGTATTTTAAAAGCATAAATTAAATCGGTCTTTTCTGGCCGAGAAATTTGGGGATGTCACAGTTGGTATCAGAGCATTAGTTTAAGCGAACTACGAATTTGTAGGATTTCTAGACTTAAACTTAGAATGCTAAGTGATGATCGGAAGATGAGTGTCCACCATATTTTAGACACGAGCACTAGTATATTTTAGGAAAGATGCCTAAAATACTTTTATGTGCTAAATGCTATATGTTTGCCATATATGATATTATTTATTCGGATCTATGGTCTGTTGCCGACCGGATCCGGAAACCTTATGTGTTTAGGAATCTAAGCATACAATTACGATATTAGAACTAGCATGTAACGTTTCGGAGTGATAAGGAAAATTTAAATATCTATCGTGAATAAATATCTAAATTCACCTTATTTGGTATATAGATTATAATGGCAAGAACTCGAAGTGGAGCTGGAAATGCAAATAGAAACCAACAACCTCAACTCCAAGTGATGGAACATGTGCCAATAGTAGAAGCTCCAACCAGAACCGATCACAATGGCTGGAGTACAAGCCATGATTCAGACAATGATGGCTGAACAAAGGGAAGAAATGAGACAACTATTGCAGAACAACAGGAATGAACCTTCAATGCTTGTTGAACAACCTGAATTAAATGACAGTCAGTCTGAGGAAGGGAATTACAGTAGATCTGTTGGTCAAACTGAACCGCTTGTGGTTAGGAGGAATAACCATGAGGACGGAGTGGAGAGAAATGGATGCAATTATAAAGACTTTATGACTTGCAAGCCATCAACTTTCACTGGAAAAGAAGATCCCGTTGGAGTAATGGAGTGGATCTCGGAAATGGAATTGGCTTTCATGACATGTGGTTGCCAAGGAAAGTTACAAACCATATTTACAGTGCGTCAGTTCAGAGGTGGCGCTGTTCGCTGGTGGAACACTCTGGGGAAGACCCTAAGCCCTAATGAGCCACTACAACTGACTTGGGCAGAGTTCTTGGTGCAATTCAAGCGCAAGTACTGCTCGGCCCAAAAAGTGCTTGAGCTAGAAAAACAATTTCTGACGTTGAAGAAGGGAAGTATGTCCATCGATGAATACACCAATAACTTCACAGACAAAATGGAGTTTGCTTTGCGTATTGTCCCAGATGAACTGCCAAAAATTGACAGGTACGCAAAGGGACTTCCATGGGAGTATACGGTGCCAGTGCGTCAAACACTTACTTTGGAGGCAGCTATCTGGGCTACCAAGTCTGTTGAAGATATGATTAAGGGGAGAGCCGCCAACAAGGTTGAAGTTGGCGAAAAGAGAAAGTTTGAAGGAACTTCAGGTTCCAATAAAATGAATAAGTTCTCGAAGTCTGGTTCGAGGCAATTCCGAGGAGGAGCCGAAGCGAAGTGGTGTGCAAGTGTAAGAAAAAACATGTTGGGAAATATAGCGAGGATGTCACTTGTTACAAATGTGGAAAGCCTGGGCATTATGCCAATGAATGCACCTTCAATAAGAAAGTCTGTTATGGGTGCAATGAAGAAGGGCACATTTTGAGGGACTGCCCGAAGAAGAAAGAGCAGCGAAGCCCAATCTTCCACCAAAGCCAATAGCCAGAGCTTTCCAGATGACACTGGAAGCTGCAAAGGATGCAGTGGATGTCGCATCAGGTAGCTTTCTTGTAAATGGATTGCCTGCCAATTTATTGTTTGATTCCAGAGCGAATTACTCCTTTATATCACATAAATTTGGTGAAATACTAGCATTGCCTATAGAAAAACTTGATGATGCCCTAATTGTAGAAGTTGTTAGTGGCAAATTCATACCCTGTCATAAAGGAAGACGACACGCATTTGCGTGTCGTAACCTTACGACGCGCATGTTTATGACACACAATAAGTATCAAGGAAGCCCTTGTCATAAAGGAAGACGACACACATTTTTGCGTGTCATAATTTTAAATGTTTTTAAAATTATATATTTTTGATAGATTTACTAATTTTCAAATTAAATAACACATTAAAAGTCTCATAATACAAATAAAATACCACAAACAATAAAGATAATTCATTGCACTAATATGTCAAATACAAATAATCATTCCAGTAGTAAGTAAATGTAACACATTGCTAATATTACATAATATTTATTATAGAAAACAAAACATGTAAAACATTAAAAGAAACCCATGACTAAATTCTTCTTTGACAATCTCCTTTGACAATTTCCTTCCTAAGAGAATAACCTAAATGCAGGAACTTTGAGAGGCTGCAGGGCATGGAAGGAGGTTGCTAGAGCTGTCAGAACCTGCACAGGGCAAATCGGTAACTTAACATGCAATACAATACAAGATGATATGATAGAGAAAAGAGAAAAATAAATACCCACCTGAAAGTTTGCACCTTCAAAAACCGGATCAAGGGTACTAAGGTCAGGCAGCCAATCAATGAATAACTTGAAATATGGTATGGGATTGACTGATGTACATCATGAACCAACACAACACAACAGATATGATAATTATCTTGAATTGCAAAGTGCTGTTAATGGCATCACTTATAAACTCCCAGTTTGGACCCATATCATGAACCAACACAACAAGTGCCTGAGGAGACAACACACATTTTATAAACAACACTTATTTCTCAACAAATATAATACATAAAAATTTAGTGAAAAAAAGTTTGACCTGGTCTTCAGATAACGACCATGGACTTCCTGACCCTGGCTGCCCAATAGGGGTCTGCAGAGTTGACTTTTCAATTAATCCATATTGACATACAATAGGAATTTAGAGTGTAATTAAAACTAATGAATTAGTTAATAATACCTTAAATGCTTTGGCTTTCCTTCCACGATCACAATCACGCACTAGTAATTTCATGATCTTATTTGGATTGGACATATTACTCATTTGAGACGCCACTGTAAGTGAGTATGATTGTTAAATAAATTATGTAATAAATGTATCAACAGTTAAATAGTTTGCCAAATTTAAACCATATGAGATACAACTGCTTCCATTTGAATCAAACTGATGTGCATCCAGTCTCCTTCTTGAGTGATCCTTCTGCATTTGTATATCAACATGTTTAATCTTATGATATCACTCTACAACAAAGCACTTTTTTTTAAAATGTTGGAATTTTACCTGGGCACTTTGAAAATTAGAATCAAGTTGCCATCGGTGGTCAAATGTGGATCCCTGAAACACCATAAACCAAGATTAAAAGTCAAAACAAGTAGAACATAATTAAAAGAAAGACTCGAGTAAATATGTGTTTGTTTCTCCTTCGTCCTCTTCAAATGCATTTTCTTGAAATTCAAAGACTTAATGATTACAACTTTAACTGATATATTAACAAGTTCTAAACAATTAATACTAAATCTTATAATACCTGCAACAGCATCATAGCCAGATGTATCCACTTCCTATTGCATGCTCCTTCCAGTTTTCTAAAGGAGATTCGAAACAAATATCATTGAGCAAGAAATAGCAACATACATTACTCTTTTTACCAATATGGACAATATAATTTACTTTTCACCCATATTTACCTCAGACTGAAGCAAATGAGATTCAATTTCTTTCATGTAGGCCTCAATTGCGCCAGGTGGAACTGTATAAAAGAGGTTATCTTGCATTACAGTGAAACAAAATTATTATGAAACCAGTTAAACAATTACAGATTAATGGAAGTTCAGTCAAAAAATTACAGATTAATGGAAGTTTAGTTACTTTTATTGTCATGAGATTTGATGGTTGGTTTTTGGGTTTTATATAAAAACAAGATATTCCTAAGAGATGGAAAGAGAGCCCTGGAGGACCATGTCATTTTACAGGTGTCGTGTCTCTATTTGATCTAATAAGAAGTAAGGCATGACATATATAAAGTGATTATACAATACGAAGGGACAAGCAAAATAGATGTCTATGTGTGTGATAGAAAAGCCAGCTCATCTAGAAGTGGAAGCAATATAGATGTCTATGTGTGTGATAAAAAAGGTTAATAAAGAAAGAGTTTTAAAGAAATAAAGAGTATCACGATCAATCATCATATTGTTGAAGGTTTGATCTCACATCAACTTTAGTTGTTATAGTTTACCAATTTAAAAAATAATAGTCACTTTGTTTATTGATTTCTATATGTTAGCAAAGTTTTTCTTTGAGGGTATTTTTGTCATTGTACTTAACTGTTTTGTTTCTGTTTACAACTCTACAACTACTCAAGGGAAGCGCCAAGTCCATAGCTTACAATGACAGATTAACCCAAATGACCATCCAGCTGGTAAAACTTACTCTTTTAAACCAAACATGTTTTCACCTGTGTCAAAATTAAAAATATTGTTGATTAAAAAACTACATTCTTATAGGCTTTTATGCCTTTAGTGATTACAAATATACAAATAATTTTATCCTTACATTTAGTCCAATCTAGAGCATATGTTTGTTGCTGAAACTGCCTTGAGACGTCTATGATGAATCTAGTAGTCAGCATAAAATGTGTAAAATAACTCTCATTTTCATTGTCTATGTAGCTGAACTTATTGACATTGTATAGCTATAGAATAGAAAGGATTCCAGGAATTACATGCATCCATAAGTTTGCAAGTATCTGCTATAGGTTCCACATAAAAAGTTATCTTTATATAGACCTGCTTGTAATGTGGCAATCTCGCGTCTTGGGTGGATAAAAGTTGAACCTGTTGGTCTTGGTCAAACGGTCAAATAAGTGGGGTCAAATTTAGTAGAAGAAAAGGATATGGAGATTTCATTAGATGTTCATGTTCCTAACCCTGTTGAGATTTTTTTCCGGGCCCCAATTCCTGTTAGGAAGGTGGGAGGAGAATGGTATCAGTATAGAGATTTGACAGAAAAAGAAGAAGAAACGAGACCCAAGTGGCACTTTTGAGAACCATATATTTGATATATGAATATGAATGTACAAGTGTAACCATTTTGTATTATTGTAAAACCAACCATATGAAAGAGAAAATTGACCTTGAGATCTCCTGAACCAGCAAAGTTTCAGAAAAAAAGAAATAAAAAAATTAGTATTTATGTTGGGCTGTTGGCAAGTAACAAAAAGAATTGCATATTTGGCTGCAAGTATTGCACATAAAAGTAAATCATAATAAGAAATCATGAACAATTTAATACATTGTAATAATCATTAAAACTTATTTTTACTGCAGAGAGAACAAAAAAATCAAGAGGTTTTCTAACCTTAATAACGTCCAATTGCCTCTCAACAAGTTCCTAGAGCTCAGGAGTTGTAAGATTTCCAATCCATGTGAAGATAGAAGAACCACTGTGTAGTGTGTAACAATAGGAGGAGTTCAATGATGACGCCACCCAAGCCAATTAGAAAGTAAATTAAACAATGAATAAATAACAAAATCTTATAAAGTAAACACAAAAATCAAAGAAGCAAAGGACTTACAGGTTCAACTTGCATTGCTTGCATGTTTTCTGGTCCATACCCTTGAACTCTAAATAGTGCAACCCCATCTTCTTTATAAGTTTCATCCGGAAGTTCCTTCTCTAAGATATAGCTCTTGTATCCATCACTTAAACCCCCCTAAGAATTCCATAAATAAATGCAAATGATCAACAAAGATTTAATCTCTAATGTATGTTTTTTAATTTTTATAATAGCATCCGAGTTGAAGCATACCTTAAAAACAAGAAAGCTCTGAAACATCGCAAAGAAAAGAACGGTTTCTCTTCCTTCGTAAATTTGCAACTACAAATCCATGAAATCAACCAAATTATAAGTATAAATAAATACAAGGTCAAATTGATAAAATAATAACAGAAATGTGAGAGTAAATTAATGATCAACCTGAGCAACCATAAACTTGAGTGACTCAACCATCTTGTTTGCCTGTGAGCTAGCTGAATGTTGGTCTTCCTAAAAGACATATTTGTTAAAATATATAAGCTAAAAATAAAGATAAGATAATTTAATTTAATTGCAAAAGAATTAAATATCTCGACACTTTGTTTTCCAAACCATGTCCCTATAATATATTCCTCTTGATCTTCACCAGGATATGTATACTAGAAGATGTAACATTCTCCACTATAGAACTTTGAATCATGATATGGAACATGAAGAGATTCCCCATTTGATACATTGACAAGGTTCATGATAACAAGTCTGCAAATACAACATGCATGAAAAATAGAAGAAAAATTAAGTTAAAAGTATAGTTAATTAGAAGAAAGGCTATTTTTTTATAAACTCGAGATGTGGGATTTGGAAATGATTGTCGGATTATTTCAAATAAAGTTTTATTGTATAGGTTTAGCTGTTTAGGGGTTATAACTTATATAAATATCCAAGAAATGAATATCCGATTCTAATTATTCACGAAATCATTTTCAAATTGCACATGTACATAAGCACTCGAAAATACAAGTTCATTTTAGAGTTAAGAACATGAGCCTTGATGCCATAATTTGTTTACTAATCATAGATAAAAATGCCCTAATTTGTTTTACTAATCATAGATAAAAATCCCCTAACTTGTTTTACCAATCATACAAGACGATGGAATTTTCTGAAAAAGAAAAACATTAAGAACAAGAGCACAGGCAAAAGGATTAGATGTGTAAGAATCATAGCCCTAATTTGTTTACTAATCATAGATAAAAATGCCCAGATTGGGAAGGTAAATAAACATGTAGGTTCCAAGAATCAAGAAAACCAAACAGTTTATGAAGATCTTATAAAATCGAAGAGCTAAATCCACATAAAGTCTAACACTGAAAGAAGAACAAGAAAGGGGTTTGAAAGATTAAAGATGCAAAAACATGAAAGAAGAAATTATACTCTATGGAGGAGAGACTTACCTAAAGTCGCAGGAGAAGAAGTGTTTGTGCAATCAGAGTAGTTTTAGGGTTTCCTTCGGTTACTCCGTTCACATCTCCGACAATCTTCATCTATGGAGGAGAGAGATGAGAGAAAACCCGATGGAGGGGGAGAGACGAGAAGGTGGATGCATCGATTAGGGAGAAAACAAACTCAGAGAGTGGAGTGAAGTCGGATTTAGGAGAAGTTATACCAGTTTTAGGGAGAAATCGAACCAGTTGGTCTTTGTTGTTGATCTTCTTTGCCGGGATTACTGGCTCGTGAATGGAGAGAAAGGTTAGGGTTTCTTGATTGAGAGACAGGTTAGGATTGATAGAATTTACGAAAAAGATCTTGCGGAAGGAGTTGATAAAGCCCGAGGCTGTGACGATGACCATATGGGATAACGAACGACTGACTCCGGCGCATGTGCAATATGCGTGCATTGATGCTTTTTTCTGAGTTATAGAATGGGGAGGTTCTTGATTGAGAGAACCTGAACTAATTTGAAGTTGAATTCACAGTTTTTGATCTAAGGCACCGTTTCTCAAGAACAAATTAGGGTTCGGATTTATGATTTAGGGTGATTTGGGGAGTCGTAGTAGGCGGGATGTTTAATTTTTTTTGGGAATGGAAAATGGTTATGAATGATTTAGGGTTCTTAGCAGAGGATTTTAGAAGGAGAAGAAGGAGTATCAGGCGGGGTGTTTAATTTTTTTGAGATTTCATTTCCCAAAAAAATACGGAGAACGCGCCTTCTTAAAAAAATATAAAGCTACACCTTTACACAACACCCTTTTTATGATAGCTTCCCTTCGTGTTTTTTTTTCTGACACTAATTTCAGGGCACACATAAATGCGTGTCCTCTATCCTTCAAATTTTAGAAGAGATGGCATTATTTTTAGGGCGCACGCTTTTGCGTATCGTAAATCACTGCGTGTCATTCTTTGCGCGCCATTAAAGGGTTGTTTTTTTAGTAATGTATAAAAGCCATTAACTAAGGTATACGATATAGTTGTTCTATAAAAGCCGAGTAAATTCGATATATTCTTAAAACTGTATATTACTCGGTTGAATAGATAGTAAGTTTCTCAAGTGCGTGAATAAATTCCAAGATATAAGTGTTATAATTTATACATATTTATTTAACATATGTACAAATCTATACATGATATAGGTTAAATAATGCAAAGTTGGTTAACATTCTTAACTCATATTTTTTTAATACACATTACTTCATAAAATCATAATATTCTTATGATTTATAATTTATGACATGAATCATAAAAGTTATATTTTCTAGTTATAACATGTTTTAAAACACTATGACATGTGTATGTCATGATAAAAACTAGTCATCATTTTGACAAAATATCAATTTAAGCTAAATATGAGTTCAACATGCATATTTCCTAATAGATATACGTTTTTCATATGTATTCTCCCTAAAATAATGAAAAAATTAAAAACGGGTCGTAAGCACTCACCTTTGTAGCGAGAACTAGGTTCGTGACGTGAAACTTGTCGTGAGAGATCACTACGTGACGTTTGCGTTAAAACGAACTACTGGGTCTATTTAGGTTACCTAATAAAACCAATGATAGTTTTGATATGAATTACTAAGTATGGGAGTTGTTTTGCTAAAATGATTAATTATAGGGACTGATTTAGTAATTTATTTCTAAAACAGGGGCTGTATTGTATATTTTAAACCAAAGTTTGGGGTGTCGGACTTATTTTGTTAACATTTTCCAAGGAGGGGGGGGGGGTTTAAAACAATTATTCTG